TTCTTAGTGAATTTGTGAGAGAGAAAGGGAGGGAATGAGGGAGGATGCCACTGGAGCCAGGCATCAGATATTAGTCTGTAATTCCTTATGAATAATACACATGATTTATTGGGAGCACTTGTGTGTCTGTGTTGACCTTCATTTGCTCTCGGTCTATGAGGGCCAACCAAGCTTTTCTCTAGACCCTTTTGGAGTTGACTTAAGAACTCTGGCCTTTTTTTGCACTGTAAAGAAATGTGTGCCTAGTGAGGTGTTTTATATTTCTTTTCCTTCTCCCTTTGCAAGTTTGGAAGAAATTCCTTTCTGAATCCTACCCACCCTTGCCCTTTTAGTTTTTTTAGTATCTTTTTTGTGATATTTAAGAATAGCTTATAGTTCTTTTTATCAGTTTAGAAATTGTCATTATATTTTCTCGAATTCAGTACTATCCAGTAGAACTCTTTGTAATGGTGGAAATTTGCACCATCCACTAGCAACATGTGGCTCTTGAGCACTTGAAATGTGGCTAGTGCAACTGAGGTACTAAATTTTAAATTATTTAATTTTAATTAAAATAACCTCATATAACTAGTGTCTACCCTATTAAAACTCAAGTTTTAGATCATATGTTGATGATTCTCTAGCACACAGAAGATTGATGTATTTGAAAATCCACAGTTGTAGGTTCCATTGGTAAGACTGTGAAATTGACTGATTCATTACCTAGTTAATGCAGATAAATTCCCACTGCTTTATAAAACTTAACTGTTTTAATGGAGAGGAATTTGGCTATATAGCTAGTGATAAAACTCAAAACTGGTTAAAGTTCACAGTAAATAAAAATTCCAGGGAATGTCAAGCTATGTAATCTTTTACCTGGATTGCTGTGTCAAATCTCCTAACTGATCCTTTTGCATCTACTCCTGTTCCTATCTAATTCATTTTCCACATTTTAATACTTTAACCTAAGCAGTCATTTCAGAATACAGATTTGATCATGTAACCCCACCATACCTAAACACTTCATTGGTTTTCCATTCTCAGGAAAAAGACTAAAATCCTATAATCTGATCTATAGTGGTGGGCCTCAGTTTATGCTATGTTTTCTCCTACTGTGTACAGAAGCCACATTAACTTTTCAGTCCATTAAACATTCTATTCAGATGACTTGTTAAGATCACCCAGGATTTCCATCTTGCTAAATCTGAAAGTTAATTTCTGTTCACATTTTTCTTGACTTCTAGGAACATTTAACACAGGTGACCATTCCCCCCCTGAAACCTTTCTTCTGACTTCTGTGATAATTAGTTTTTTTCCTGTACTTTAAATGCGAGAGTTCTTTCTTGACACCCTTCATTCCCAACAGTCTCCCTCAGTGATCTCTTCTCGTCTCATGACTTTTAATAACATCAACTTGTTAATATAACTCTAGCCTTGTTCAGTGTCAGACTGGTGTTTTCAACTTTCTATCCAACTTGTCTATGCAGATATTTAAGAAGCATCTGAAACTTAACAAGTCCAGAGCAGAACCTTAAAAAAAAAAGAATCAAACCTTTTTTGTGTGCAAAAATGCAGTCCTGATTCAAAAGGAGAGTTAGTACTATGGATCCCTATATACCCAACCCTTAACTTCAACAATCAATTCATGGCCACTCTTTTATTTATATTCTGCCACTCACCCCATCCTAATCAGATTATTTTGCAGCACATCCCAGATACCATGTCTTTTTTTGTAAGTTTTCAGTCTCTATTTCTAATAGATGATAATTTAAACACACTACCAATATCACATACAATTAACAATAACCCTAAGTATTATCAAATGTCCTTTGAGTCGTAATAGAACTTTGATCTCATTCCTTCCAAATCTTTTCTTCCCTCAGTCTCTCCCCATCATCAGTTTAACGGCACTACCATGGATTTGGTTGTTCAGGCCTCAAACCTAACAGTCATCTTGTTTTCTCATTCCTCACCACCAATTCATCAGTTTAGCCTATCTGCTCTATTTTCAAAATATATCCTGAATCCAGCTTCTTCCTAATTCTATTGCTACCTCTCAATCAAACTATCTATCTCTTGCCTAGACTACCATAGTAGTCTGCTAAAGAGTCACCCTGTTTCCATTCTCTTCTCTATAATCCATTCTTCATCTACAGGCGAAGTTATCTTTTAAAAAAATTAATCATGTTATAGCATTCCCTTGCCTTTAACCCTGTTGCCTTTAGAACAGAGTCCTTAATTGTTTCCATGGTCTCTGTTGTCCTTCATTTTCTGGTCTCCTCTGACCTCACTTAATACCACTTTTCCCCTTATTCACTCCCAGCCCACTTGTCTTCTTTTAGTTCTTCAAATACCCCAAAGTTTGTTCTTGCCTCATCATTTTTGACTTATTCCCCCACATGTTCTTTTAGTTGGCTTATTCATGTCATTCAGTTCTCAGTTCAAATGCTGTATCCTCAGAGAGGCCTTTCTGGATCTCCTTATCCAAAGTGTTAGCCCCTCAGCCCCACTGTCATTCTTCATCCCATTACCTCAGTTTGTTTTCTTTTTTCACAGTATTGTTCAATACTGAAATTATCTTGTTTGTTGAGGCACTTGCTTATTACCTGTCTCTCCCTATGAGAATTTTGCTCTTTGAGGGTCAGAACCTTTAGAATGTTTAGAGTAGTGTTTAGAATGGTGCCTGACACACACTAGACATTACTAAATATTTTTTGAATGAAGAGTGAGTTAATAAATGAACTGTGCTGGGTTCTGAATGCTTCATATGTTTAAAGAAGAAAGATTGCTGAGGACTCTCAGCCAAGGAAAGAGTTTTATCCAAAAGGTATAACTTAAATCTTGGCCTCAGAAGATCATTTTGATATAGATGGGAGAAAAGAGAGATTTTTAAAAGAGGTTTCTTTCTTTCTTTCTTTCTTTCTTTCTTTCTTTCTTTCATAGTCAAGTTATAGGTGTGCTGAAGTTGGAAAGGAAGGTTCCTGTCTACTACTTCTGCTGATTATGTACTTTTTGACACTAAATGGTGCTTCTGCCTTTTGTTTGGAATTTGCCATTCACACATATATCCTCCGTTGTACACAAAACACTCAAAGTGGTGGTTGCTTAGTGAATATGTTGATATTATCCCTTAAGAATTCCAATTTATAGAGAATAATAGTACTATTGACAAAAATAGAAAGATACTGGAAGAGGGGATAAGATAGTGAAGCTGGTTTTAAACCTGACATTTGCCTGTGTTTTATTAGTCTAAATTATGAGCCTTCTACAAGCTATTTAACTTCTAGATTGAGATCTAGAAAAGGCTATTAAAATACTGATTGAAGATTAATAGACTGATAGGAACAGAATCTAAACTGCAGACTTAGACTGAATGGCTTAAATGGTTATTATAATTGGAAACACCTAAATGTTCATTATTGGGGAAGTAGTCTTACAGACTGTGACACTTCCACAGGATATTTATGCCACGATTAAAAATATCTTCCAGGCACTTTGAGTAACAAGGGCAAAATGCTCATGGTATAATGTTATATGATACATATAATGATATAATGATATCATGTTATGTGATATATATAATGATATGTTTTATGATAATGTCATAAAAGCAGGACTTTAAAGTGTTACAAAGGACCTCCAGTTGATAAAAATATTCATAGATGTGTACAGAAAAAACTAAACACATCTTATAACATTAATAATAGTTAACTGTGGATGACTTTTATTTTTTTAAACTTTTTTGCTAGTTTTTCTAAAATGACTTGTAATACTTTAATCATAATAGAAGTTTTTATTTTAACAAATGGATGAAGAAAGAAATGAAGTTGGTTTCAGTCATGGATTTCAGTTTGGCATAGGAAAGATAGGCTGTTATGTTGAAGGAGACAGAGAATCAAACAAAGTTGCTTTTAATACACTTTAATATTGAATGTTAACTTGTTGGGTGTTTTTAATATATATATTTCTAGCATTATATACTTCTATTTCCCTGATGATTTTTCAGCCATCATGTTTTGCTGGGCTGGGGGGCGGGGAAGAGAATTTAAGAAACAATTAAAAAAGAAAGAGAAGAGTATAGTGCTGGAAACAGTTTGTGTTTTCTGGAGACAGAGTGTACCTGATGTACAGCCTTTCTCTAGTGACAAGTGAAAAGAAGTACCCTAATCAAAATGTAGAGAGAAGGGACTGTCCTATGTAGGTATTCTCACCAGAGTCTTTTTAAGTCCCCTGCCCTTTTAGTATTATTTTTCTTTTGGTTGGTTTTTTGAGAGTTGGAGCCTTTTCAGGAGGAAGAGATCCGTGGGAAATGTGAGTAGGGTCACTAAGAAAAGGTAAAACTAATTTCTGTTTTGTTCTATGAATAAGAAAGCCATGAAAAGACTTGATTCCTTCTATAAAATCATGCTTTCTCCTGTACTTCTCCTGTATTTTTGTTACAAAAATAATAAAACAATCATAGTAAAAAGCTAAAAAAAAGGAAAAAGCCTAAAAGGTCATAGGTTAATTTCTAAGTGAACCACTACTGAGTATTTCTTATATAGCTTTACAGAATTTTTCCATCTAGTACCACATTTTAGAATGATAGACATAGAGGCAATAGAGCAAGCAATTATGCTGGATTGTCTGGGACAATTTGAGGTAATTGCGTTTAGTAGAAACTTTTGTTGGCTGTATGCTTGGATGGAAAAAACATACACTGTTTGCTAAGCATGTGCCACCAGGTGGGGTTTAAAAATGAATTAAAGCAGTCATGACCCTTGAGATGGTCACATTTGAGCCAAGAAAACAGGGTTGGTGCCCATTCTTAGAATTACGATTACATAACCTATTATTCTCGTAATAAAGATTTTCCTGTGGTTGCACTAAATTTAGCATGGTTTCTCTACTCCTAATTTACAGGATTGTAAAATATCCAAGAGCTTTATGGATTTTTTTGTTTGTTTGTTTGTTTAAATGTTTCTTTTTTAACACTTAACTTTCAATTCAGGTTATTATTCTTTTATTTTAAATATATATAGGAATTACTCAAGGTGATGAGGACGATTGATGACAGAATAGTACATGAATTAAACACTACGGTTCCAACAGCTTCCTTTGCAGGGAAAATTGATGCAAGCCAAACCTGTAAACAACTTTATGAGTCTGTAAGTGTATCTTTTGAGTCTTTTGTGCTTCCTTTATGCCTTTCTTTGCAGGCAAAATAAGAAACCAATTGACATATAATTAAACTGGATAAAAGTATGACATCTTCATGTTTTCTTGCCTACGTCTGAGAGTGTGTGTAAGTTTTGATCTGGTTGCTACAAACTAAGGAAAACATGTGATCTTATGCACAAGTCTGTGGAGAGATGGTTCTAAGGAATGAGAGCATTTTTTGGCCCCTTCATGGGCAGCCTTTAACTTTAGAAACCTTATGCACCAGGGAACAAAGGAGGAAGTGAAACAGTCAAGTAAAACAGTGAAACAAGAGCAAGGGTTTTGAATGAGTCAGTCCTAAGAAGCCAGATACCTGATACAATAAATTAAAACCTTTTATACTTTCTGTATCTTTTTTCTTCCCTCAATCATCAGGGAGGGGAATAGAAGCATTTGGTAGTTGGGAGAAAAGCCACAGATCTTGTCCTCGTATGAGGCTTTGGGTTCTCAAATATATATTTTTTCATAGGCTCTTAAAGAGTTCTTTTGTGTCGCTTTATAATTTCTAAAAACAAAAGGAAATAGTAATGTGGCCAAGTATTTTTTTATAATTTACTTATATCTTTTCATTAACTTGGAAGCTAATGTTCAAATGGCATTTGCTTTTCTATGATCTCCCACAAGATTACTATTTGGATTCTTATAAAGAAGATATTACTTAAAACCTAAAATTCTATTTCTCAGTTATGAAAAAAAAAGTCAGTGTTATTCATATCAATTAAATTCAAAGCATTAATAATTGCTGATGTTTTTGTCCTGCTTTTATATGAAAGTGTGTTGTTTTATTGAGTGGTTAGGTGATTCTTGTGGCTTGAGAAATTGCAAATCTGTGAACTTTAATGAGTAGAATCCAGTATCGGAAGTAGGGAGCATGAGTCCAAGCCCTATTTTATTTTGAGGTTGTTCACTTAGTTTCTTTGGGTAGCTCTGTCTGAAGAACTAGAAATTTATGATCACTTTAGTGATGCCCCCCTCACTGCCCATATAATCTCTAGAAAAGAATCTCACTTGTTTTCATTTATAATCTTTTTTTAACCTAAAGATTTATAGTGTAGGGATTAGCAACATAGATTCCAGATGTAGATTAAGTCCTACCTCTGCTTCTTCCTAGCTGGTAGCCTTGAACATGTCACATAACTTTTTGCCTCAGCTTATTATTTGCAAAATAATAACATAATAGTACCTAGTTCATGGGGTTGTTAGAGGATTAACTGAGGTAATATAAAGTGCTAACTGTACTAAATGTTTTATATATAAATGCTTGCTGCTTCTATTATTATTGTTGTTATTATTATCCCTTTGTTGCACTAAGATAATCTTGCATATTGGACCCTTTTGTTTTGGATATTTGAGACCTTTCTGTTTTGGATATTCTCGTGTTTGTGTTTGGGTTTTTCTCTGTCTGTATCCTAAAGGGATCCAACAACATGAACATTAGAGGAACGATTGTTTATCTAGTAATTTTGTGCCAGGGATCAGGCCTGCGGCAGAGTGCCTATGCTAATAAGTACCACTGAGTTCCCTTAGATATTATCTCAGTTAAGAGTGGAGCTCTGTGAAACATCCAAATTGCTTAAGGTTACTCTGACTTCTTTTAGCCCCTGATGCTTTCCTTCTATAGCTGATGAAGAAATGTTTGCACTCTCTAATAATAATACTTCTTCAGGGGCGCCTGGGTGGCGCAGTCGGTTAAGCGCCCTGCTTCAGCCAGGTCACGATCTCGCAGACCGTGAGTTCGAGCCCCGCGTCAGGCTCTGGGCTGATGTCTGGGAGCCTGGAACCTGTTTCCGATTCTGTGTCTCCCTCTCTCTCTGCCCCTCCCCCGTTCATGCTCTGTCTCTCTCTGTCCCAAAAATAAATAAAACACGTTGAAAAAAAAATGTTTAAAAAAAAAATAATACTTCTTCATAGCAGATGATCAACAAAGTTATTATGAAGTACTAATTGTAGAAATTCCAAATCTTAGAAGAATACTCTTAATGAAAATAATTTCAGTGAGATCCCCTTATTAAAGGGTATCCCTTGAATCTATGATTTTTTTCTAGCTGTACATTGTTTATTGTTTATTCTCAAAATAAATGTGAAAATCAATGCTGAACATTAAAAAGTCTGTGAATTTGGAACAGTGTTTTACAAATGCAAAACAATTACTAGTGTCACAGTGATTGATTTAGGGTAATTTTTAAGGATGTCTCTTTAATATAATGAATCTTTGGAATATATGTTTCAATGATATGCTTCCCCTTGCATCTTTTTGTCAGAAATTCTGGAGAAAGATTTAAAAAACACAAAAGGCCAAGACAAAAACTTACTAACTTTTATTTTATTTTTTTATTATTTTTGTAAATTTTTAATAGTTTATTTATTTTTGAGAGAGAGAGAACACACATAAGCAAGGGAGGGGCAGAGAAAGAGGGAGACACGGAACACAAAACAGGCTCCAGGCTCTGAGCTATTAGCACAGAGCCCTATGCAGTGCTCAAACCCACGAACTGTGAGATCATGACCTGAGCCGAAGTCGGCCACTTAACCGTACTGAGTCACCCAGGCGTCCCATGTTGTGTTTAAAAAAAAAATTTTTTTAGCATTTATTTGTTTTGAGAGACAGAGGGACAGAGCATGAGTGGGAAGGGGCAGAGAGAGAGAGGGAAACACAGAATCCAAAGCAGGCTCCAGGCTTTGAGCTGTCAGCACAGAGCCCGATGTGGGGCTTGAACGCAGGAACTGTCAGATGATGACCTGAGCCAAAATTGGCCGCTTAACCAACTGAGCTACCCAGGAGCCCCCTGTGTTTTGTTTTTAAATGATGGTTAAACCAAGGGTCAGTGTCAGGGTTCTGACAAATGATGTTTCAGAAATTAGAATTTAGTGTAGAGTTAATTTAGAATCAACCTTTGTTCAGGAAAGAAAACACCCAAAAACTATGATCACGAAAAGTGTTAGCATTGTTTCCCTTAAAGGCAAAAAGGATTGTTTTTAAATAATGGTTAAAAGATAGTAGGTGAGGGGCGCCTGAGTGGCTCAGTGGGTTAAGCGGCTGACTTCGGCTCAGGTCAGGATCTCACAGCTCGTGGGTTCCTCGAGTGTGCTTTGGATTCTGTGTCTCCCTCTTTCTCTGCCCCTCACCTGCTTGTGCTCTATCTTTCTCTCTCTCTCAAAAAAATAAATAAACGTTGAAAAAGAAAAAGATAGTAGGTGAAAATTTGACTAAAAGAAGTTCTTAGAGTTTTGGTAAAGTATAATAAAACTGGGAAGTCCTAGATAGACCCCTGTTAGACTAGCTTTGAATCACTCTCTTGCCCCATCCTAAATGCCTTCATTCTGAAATTGCATACCCCAAATCAAAGGAAGTATGGTTATGATATGGTTATTACTCAGGGATTTTCTCCTCTAACCAAAGGAGCTGCTAGTTATCAAGCGTCCTCATTTCTTTGACATGTGTACAGAAAGAAGTCTATGCATATTCCTCTTGCATATGGCTCTTAATTCTGAATTTTCTTGAAGGTTGATCATGAAAGCTAGACTAAAATAATTGATAGTACAGAATAAAAGATGATTTGCTCAGTACTTTCTGTCCATAGGGGAGTGAGTTCGCAGTGGGGCTAATCTGAAGGAAAAGTATGCAGGTGAAGGTAGGAGGGTGGTCTTCAGTGAGAAGTGTATCTGCAGGAAAGGGGCCAAGTTAATGAGGGGAACAGTGGAGGAGAGCCTAACCAAGGAAGGAACCTGTGTGGTGAGAGAGGCTGAAAGGAAAATATTGAACATTTTAATAAAATGTACACAATTGGAATTTGATTTTAAAATTCAGATAGAAAAAGTGAAAATACTGTGACAGACTCCTACTTAGTGCTAATGCTATTCCACCAATTATTGGAGCTTTAGACAAAATATTAAAGTGATTAAATCGCGTCTGACATCTGAGCAGTGTATTGAGTTATGTTATCCTTAGATTTTAGAGGTAGAAAGGATATTAGCGATTATTTACTCATAATCCATAATTTTGCAAAAGAGGAAACTGAAGCCTGGAAATGTTAATTATTTAGCCAGTCTCATACAGGGAGAGCTTCTTAACTCTAAGTTAGGATGGTTCATTTCTTCTGTTTTGGGAATTTCCCTACCCTCAATGGCTCCTTTCATTTTCTGGAATTATATCTGAAGGAGGAAACAAGTAACAGAAGCAGCGTATTTGCCAATGAAATATAGGCCTTGGACTGTCCTTGTGAATCCTAAACCTTACAATGAAAAAAATTAGCATATTAGAGTAATTTAGTATAGGTGGGGTTAATGCCTCTTAGTTTGATTTTCTTCTCTTCACATAGGTATGATTTATAATCAATGCACTTTTAGTATTGTCGCACTCTAGAAATGCAAAGGAATTTTTCCTGGTGCATATTAGATCAGTAGTTCTTAACTTCAGGGTCCTGAGATGATCATTTAAGAGATATATTTCAAATAACTTAGAAAGAATGCTTATAGGATGGTTTAGTCCTGTGTTTTATATACAAATATGTATAATAGGTTATTCCTAGTATAACTCATTAGCATAGCATTAACATACTCTCTTCAGAGGGAAGAAGGAATGATATAACATGATTAATTAGATGGAGGAAGTTAACACCTAAATTTTAGTTGGAAGCGAACCACCTTTGTTTGTGTTCCACTAATTATAATGGCGATTGCATAGTGCTTGCTTCAGCAGCACATATACTATAATGGCGATTACATATTATTTTAGTACTTTGCTTTTACTCTCCCCCAGGTTTATGGGGCATCATCAGAATTTGGTATGATCATGGGAGTGTGTTCGAATAATGATCATCAAACTTCGTAAATGAAGGAAGAAAATAAATGCAAATTGTTGTATTGGATTTGTTATATAAAGATGAAACTTAGTAAAGAATTGCCCTGCCAGATGTCCTTTCAGTTGGCACACACAGTTGATGGAGCCAATAATCTGTACTTCATATACAATTTTCCCATAAAGTCTTGAAAAGGGCTCTGTCTTGCATAGGTAAACATTCTTTGTTTTTCTTTAGTGTAACGAATTCCTTCTCTACATCACTTACTTCACAATTTCTTGCACTTAGTGACAACACAAGGCTGAAAAAACCAATGAAAGGACAAAAAAAAAAGAGGAAGAATAGCAGCAGTGGCCCCGAAGGTGTGTGAGGGTGGGTAGAGGGTAGAACACGAGGGATGGAATACTGGGGACAGGAATGTAGGGAGAAGGGACTGAAATGAAAAGTCCTGTATGGGGAATGCAGGAAGAGGAGTGGGAAATCCCAGAAGCATATGGAAGGAGGAAGACAACCGACCTCATACTTTACACCATGAGAGGTATTTCCTTTGATCTGTTTTTTGGTGATTTAACTGGTTCAGCACAATCTTCTCTTCCATAGATTCAGTTTTTAAAAATTGTTTTAGAACTATTATATTTCTGTAGCCTAAAAATAAGGATTTTTTAAAAACCACTACAATGTAAAAAATTGGTATGATTTTTCTCTATTGTTCCTTTGTTCCTTTAGTTGATGGAAGCTCATGCCAGCAGGGACAGAGTCATAAAAAATTGTATAGCTCAGACCTCAGCAGTAGTAAAACACCTCCGAGAAGAGAGAGAAAAGAATTTGGATGATTTAACGTTATTAAAGCAACTTAGGAAAGAACAGACAAAGGTAAGTTGAATAAGCTTTAAATTTCTGAGCAAAAGATTTTCAAAATAGCTGTCAAAATAAATTTAGCTATCAAAATAAAGACAATTTTTTAACACCTTATTTATTTGTTGAGAGAGAGAAAGCATAAGCAGGGGAGGGGCAGAGAGAGAGAGAGTGACAGGATCTGAAGCAGACTCTGTACTGACAGCTCAGAACCTGGAGCCTACATCATACTCTGTGTGTCCCTCTCTCTGCCCCTCCCCTACTCACTCTCTGTCTCGTTCTCTCTCTCAAAAACAAATAAATGTTATAAAAAAAAAAGAAAAAAGAAAAAGAAATGGTCATTACTTTAAAAAAAAAAGGACCAGGGACGCCTGGGTGGCTCAGTCGGTTGAGTGTCCGACTTCAGCTCAGGTCATGATCTCACAGCTCATGAGTTCGAGCCCCGCATCAGGCTCTGTGCTGACAGCTTGGAGCCTGGAGCTTGCTTCGGATTCTGTGTCTCCCTCTCTCTCTGCCCCTAACCATCTCGCATCCTGTCTCTGTCTCTCAAAAATAAATAAACATTAAAAAAAAAAAAAAGGGACCAGATTAATACTTCATTTTTAGTGGGCTTAATTTTATTACATTTAGAAATTAGTTGGTATGTTAATTTGCATTTCATGAATATATGCAGTGTAGTAGCTTTAGCTTAAAGAAACGTAATCATATTTTCTTTCCATTTTTTTTATATAGTATACTGTTAAATATAACAAAGGATATCCTTATATATAAAAGGATTAACACAGACCAACACCACATCAGAAAATCTAGGGAAATCATATCTGTATCTATGTTTAAAGGCTTGACTTAAGAATAAACTTTTTTAGGGGCACCTGGGTGGCTTAGTCGGTTGGGCGTCCATCTTTGGCTCAGGTCATGATCTTGTGGTTGGTGGGTTCGGCCCCATGTCAGGCTCTGTGCTGACGGCTCAGAGCCTGAAGCCTGCTTCAAATTCTGTGTCTCCTCCTCTCTTTGCCCCTCCCATGTTCATGCTCTGTCTCGCTCTGTCTCTCAATAATAAATACACGTAAAAAAAAAAAAAAAGAATAAACTTTTTTAATGTATTTACATTTTGAGAATATTTACTTCTGGTTTCGTCTGTAGAAATTTGCCGAAATGCAATACAAATATTTTCAGAATACTACTCTCTTTAGCTATAAAAGTATAGTATTATTTGAATATAACCAGGTACACTAGAACCACATTATAATTTATTTCCCTACACAAAGAAGTTACTATGGATCTTTGGTTCTTTTTGGATACTTTTTTGTTTCCACTTCATTTCCCAGCCTTGCAGTTTTCACTTTTAAGAAAACAGCAAGTGTCCACTGAGTGATATGTCAGAGGAAGCCTTTTTTCCTCAAAGTCAGCTGTAATGCAGATAGGGTGTGCACCTCAGAGTATAAGAAATGGAACAGGACTGTTCCTTTATAGCCCTTAATGGTGACATGTCAAGAAAACATTTGAAATGTGTGCCATATTTTATTAAGTGCAACTCATTGCTGTCTTCTTTTGTGGGGAGCTGCTTAAAGAGTGACTTTTTATTTTGATATAATTTCAAACTTACGGTAAAGTTGCAATAGTACGGGGAACTCACTTATACCCTTTACCTATATTCACCTATTGTTTGCATTTTGCCCCACCTGCTTTGAGATACATTGTCTCCACCCTCCCCTCCTTCTGCCTCCTCCTTCCCTCCTTTCCTGTTTCCTCCCCTTTCTACCTCACATAGGCATTTTTATTTACTGAATCATTTGGCGAGAATGTTGGGTACAATGTTCCTTTGCTCCTTACATACGTTGGTGATTTCCTAAGAAGAAGGGCTTTTTCCTATATGACCACTGAGCAATTATCAAAATTATGTCTGTATTTCAAGGTAGCACAGTAGGTGACTTGCTGACTGGGTGACTGAAAATCCAGTATGGGACAAAATTGTGTTTTTCATTACTGAACAGTCATGAGGTCTGCCCTTTGTTTAGTAGATGTAGCCAAGCTTTGAAAAGGGGACCTTACCATCACTCTCAAGCCTATATTCTTGTAGCTGCCCGCAGGTGAGTGTGTGCACTTGCTCAGTCATCCCAGGGCTGCACCATGTCTTACTGGAATCAACCACCGTCTTCATGGCTCTCTTTGTTCATGACGACTGCTTCAGTCCTGTATTCCACACCTGCTCATTCATCTGGCAGTGGTGGGGTCCTCAGAGAGTGAACTTAATGCTGTAATGATCATCTTAGTCATTGTTTATGAAGGCTTGTAGATAATTTCTATAAAGCTGGTTAAAATCTAGTTATTTTGGATTTTGTATTTCAACAGACTCTTGAAGGTTTTGACAAAGAAAACTACAGGGCAGGGCTATTATATCAGAAACTGAAAACTCACTATTTGCAAATTACATCAGACAAACACTACAATTACTCCTGTTAGTGGAGAGCAAAGTTCAGAACCACTGAGTCCTTGGGAGTGATTTGTTACATAATTGATCCACCCTCATCTCTGCCCTTCAGCCTCTAGGGCCCAGAGAAAATCACCAGGATGACCATTGCAAGGAGTAGTTTTAGAAACCAGTCAGCAAGTTACAAAAGGTAGCTTTCTAGTCAGATACTGTGTAGGACTAGAGGGTGACTGTGAATAGTACTTAACCAAATAAGAAAGCTTGAATTTTTTTTAATTTTCAAGCTTTCTTCATTTTCATGAAGATTATGGAATCAGAAAGAGAACTCTTAAAGATGTTCCAGGTCTACCTCTTCATTTTTTTGAATGAGAGAACTGCAACTCAGGTACTAACTGATATCCCCAGCTAGTAAGTGGTAGAGCTGGGACTTTAACCCATGTCTTCTGACTCTGGATTCAGTGCTTTTACATTAAACTGTGACTGATAGTCAAATTCTGACTACTGTAGAGAACATACTTTATTCATATGCAGAGATGCCGGTCTAAAAGTCCCCAGTTCTTTCCCTGAGTCCTTAACTCAGAAAAAGCACATTCCTTGCTGGAACTGTGTAACTGCTGTCACCTATTGTCACCTATTCAAACTTCCTTTGAAAGGAAGTGTACCTGTTTAAGACCTAGAGCCTCAAAACAACCATCTCTCAGGGAGCATTTTGTTGGTGGCACTGAAATTGTATTAGAAGTTGGTTGTAATATCTGAAGCATTCAAGAATAGAGAAAACATGGGTTATAAAGGCAGGTGGCCCTAATGAAATGAATCTCTTCTACCACTTGGTGGCTTTGTAAACTTGTAAATTAATTGCTCTGAAATAATCTGATTTTTGGTTTGTAAAATGTAGTTGAGATTTCTTTATTTTTAGAGATGAGGATTAAATGATATCGTGTGTGTAAGAGCCAGCATATTACCTAATGTACTTAGTAGTTGTTTTCCTTTCCTTTTTGAGACTCTGGGACCCCATATTTTTTTACATTAATCCTCCTTACAATATCTTGGAACCATTGGTTTCTACTTTTTGTTTAATCACTACTTACGGGGGTAGGGGAGGAGGAGTATGCAAATCCTCTGTAGCAGTGGCATTCTCTTTTTGGAAGTTGTAATTTTTCAGAGATTTTCTTATATATTGTGAAAATCTGCCTCCCTGTAGCATGTGATTATTGCTCCTTAATCTTCACTCTGCAAGTATGTAGGAGAAGTCTAAACCCATTTCTCCGTGACCTGCCTGTAAATATTTGCGAGCAGTTATGAAGACTGTCCTAGTGGAATGTCGTGACCCTGTTTTTTGATTGAGTTTACTTCTTTGGCACTCAGTCCAGGCTTTGACAGAGCAGTGAATCTTCAATAATTTCTGGTCCATGTAGCTGATTAAAATCTGAGGTTGCTTTGATGTCAGCAGATGGGCTTCTTCAGGCTCGTTACTACTTTACAGAACAAGACTGGTTGTCAGAAATGCAGTCCTTCCTCTCATTCTAGTTTCAGTCCTATGTACCTGACTATACTCTGACACCAGTTCTGAGTCTAGCAGAGGACTTTACAAGGAGCCATTGGATCAGTACTAAGTTCCTATCTTACTAGTGTTACATGCACATTGCTTAAACATCCTGCCTGAACTCTGCTCCTAACTGGTCAGGTTCATTGGCTTGGGTCCCTGACTCATGGTTGCCTAGATCTTGTCTGGCTGGCTCTCTGGTATTTTGTTCCCAAATCTCCTGGCTTGAGTCTTAACTTTGGCCTGAGGAAATCATCCTGGTTTTAACCTCTTGGCTGCTTCAATCTGTAGTTCATGCTTTTTGTCCCAATTTTCCTGAATAGTTTCAAGCCTTCTTCCTGGAACTAGCAAGCTTCTTTCAAGTTTCTCCCACTAGAAGTGACTAGGAGTATGATGCCCACCCCCCCCACCCCCCGCCTCCATCTGGGCCTGGCAATGGAATTGGCTACTTTTCTGATAGAGTAATTAGGTTGGCAGTTATCAGGAAAGTTAGAAAGATGTAGCATTAGTATCAGACCTCTGGCTGTATGCTCAAGGTGTGGAAAACTCATGCCTTTCTAGATCATTTGGGCCTTAGATATTCCCCTTCTTTCTCTGTTTTTCTTCTTGATTCTTTTTTCTTTATCCAAATCAGGTTGCCACCTCCTTCTTTTTATTCCTCTGTGCTGTCTTTGTAAATCTGTATTATAGGATCAATAACTAGAACTAGAATTATTGAGTTCAAGGACATGTGAATTTATGTTTTTATAAATCTTACCAAATTGCCCTCCATAGAGGTTGCAACAATATATACTCCTACTAAAAATGTGTATGAGGGGCGCCTGGGTGGCGCAGTCGGTTAAGCGTCCGACTTCAGCCAGGTCACGATCTCGCGGTCTGTGAGTTCGAGCCCCGCGTCGGGCTCTGGGCTGATGGCTCGGAGCCTGGAGCCTGTTTCCGATTCTGTGTCTCCCTCTCTCTCTGCCCCTCCCTCGTTCATGCTCTGTCTCTCTCTGTCCCAAATAAATAAATAAACGTTGAAAAAAAAAATTTAAAAAAAAAAAAAAAAAAATGTGTATGAGTGTATCTTTTTCCATACTCTCACTAGTAGTAGGTTTTATCAGAGGTACTCATTTTTGAAAATTTTTGTCATATTATGGCTTGATTTGCATTTTTTTATACATTACTAATATTCTATATTTAAAAAATGTTTATTGGCCATTTGTGTTCCTATTGTGAACTACCTGGACATTTGATTTTTTTTTTTTTTTTTTTTTTTTTTTTTTGGAGCTCTCAAGGTGAGGGGCACCTGGGTGGCTCAGTCTGTTAAGCACCCAACTCTTGATTTCCACTCAGGTCATGATCTCACGATTTGTGAGTTTGAGCTCCACATTCAGCTCTGTGCTGACAGCATGGAGTCTGCTTGGGATTCTCTCTCTGCCCCTTCCCTGCTCGAACTTTCTCTCTCTCTCTCTCTCTCTCAAAATAAACAAATAAACTTAAAATAAAGCTCTCAAGGTGATTGTAATATGCTTGAGAACCACGACTTAACAAGATTTAATAGCAGATTAGATACCAGAAGAATGGGCTGTGTCCAAGATCTAGCCCAGGTGATACCATTAACGAAGAATGGAGGAGCAGTAGCTGCTTTTATTAGGAAACTATAAATAGAATTTGGTTTTAGTTCTTCAATTTGAATTTTTATAACTCCAACTTTTTTTTTTCTTTTTTACAGTTGAAATGGATGCAGTCAGAACTGAATGTTGAAGAAGTTGTAAATGACAGGAGCTGGAAGGTATTAAATAATGCTGTCTTGGAGGGAACTATGAGGGAAACTGAACTAGCAAAGGGAAACCAAGGGAGGGGGGCAAGGAGAAGGAGTCCCTTAGGGCTCTCAAGAAGAATAGACATCCTTTATTTATAAGCAGCTGAAAGTTTTAACTTTGAGAAGGGTGCAGTTGGCATCCAAAAATAGCCACCGTATAAAAATCAACTTTATAGTCGTATGGTAGTTTTAATGACATGTCATGGTAACAATTGGAGACATTTTGTATGTTAACTAATACTAATAATGGGCATATTTGTTATTTAGGGTTATTACTAGTTAACTCAGAACCTTCAATGGCCTTATTTGTTATCAGCCTTTTTGAGGCCCATTGGTTTGCATAAATGTTTATATCATTAGCTACCCTTCACAGTGACTTGCTTTCTGACATACCTGATCATGAAACTTATTTGTACATAACTTTACTGATACCTGATAATAGAGCTTTTTATGGCTGCTAGGTTCACATGTTCCTTATTGCTGCCTGCACAGTTCTGAATAGGAATGAGATTGGAGAACCAGGATTCGAGGACTTTACTTGTAATCAAAAAATCACAAAATGCTGACTTCAGTTGTATGAAATGGTATATCTATATACCCTTCTCTAAAATTTTAAAGATTTCCAAAGGGAAAAATCTATGAAATCTGAAAGAATGAGCTGAAAATTCTGTTTTATCCTTTGGAATTAAGCAATGGAATGAGGTTAAACACAGAGAGACATTAACTGAACCCAAACTAGAATGTACCAACTTGTAGAGCTGTGAATAAATTGCAAAATACAAATTGATTTTCTTTGCTATATCATTTTTCTTTATTTTGTCCTCTTTGACAAGATTTCCTATTCTTGCTCTTTCTACTAACATGAGAAGGTGTTTGCTACTTGAAAGATTTTGGCGATATTTGTCCATTTATGTTCTACAGAGAGATAATATTTAGTCTTGGGATGGGATAGGGGAGGGGTACAATGAATATCTGATTTGAAAAACTCAGTGGAGAGGTTGGTATATGTCAAATGTAGTGGGAAGAGTGAAGCATTTTTAGATTTGATACTAGTTTTAAAGAAAATATACTCCATCCAGTCTGCAAAAACCCAAGTTGTCTACTTGATTTTAAAAAAAGAAAATGTAAGCTGTGGTTCAGTAAGCCAGCAAAAGTTACGAAGGCATTTAGGAAAAATATTTGGAGAAGCTTGGCCAAGTCATACATGTCCCAAATATTGTCCCAAGGCCACTAATCTAAAGCCTCGCCTGGTTTGAGCATTGAGAACTTGAGGGAAATGTCAGGACTGGTAACTGACAAGAGATGAACTGTAAGACGAAAGGGCCAGAGAGAGTATATTTAATTTCTGCATTTTTTTTTCTTTTATTTGTGAGTTAACACATATCAAAGAGGATATAACATGTAGAATGTAAGGAATATTAATAAAATGAACACTCGTGTATCTTCCACCCAGCTTAAGAGATTGAATAATACCAGTACCATGAAATCTCCCTATGTAGACTTTTCTTTTATTTTTATGGTAGTCCACAGTGGCCAATATAGGTTGTTGTGTGTGTGTGTGTGTGTGTGTGTGTGTGTGTGTGTGTGTGTGTGT